TTGTGTCATAACCGCTTTTTACATCGACATCAACCCGAGCACAAGGTTAACACTGCTGAGGTGTCCCTGAACAGAAAACTACAACCCCTCCAACCCCACGTCTACATTCAGACATTAAGTCAAAGAAGCATCTGTCAACATCTGTCATTGACTCCCATTAGGGAAACAAACAGAAATAATATATACACTTCACTACCAACTTTGCCAAATGAAGCTGAGCTGCGTGTCATTGGAGGACAGAACCATGTCAATATTATTTTCATCTGCGTTGGATTGCAGCAATGTGGCGAGCCAATCACAGCTCACCTTGAAAACCTTGTGACGTAGAAGTGAAAATTTGAAGCAGTTGTGATGCAGTTAAAAAGTACAATTTCTTATTATAACAATATGGCAAGACACATTTAAAACTGGAATTGCACTGAGATAGGCCCAGCAGTCCCCTCATGAAACCACATTTAAAATTTAATAGATCCAGATTTTTTTAGATCTGCACAAAATTGCACAGACTCACAAATATCAGTCCTCTAAATGTCTAATCTACAAAGTCCTGCATCTGTCCCTTGATCCATATCAACACCAAAATACCTCATCTTGCAATCTTACGCCCATATCCTCTATGTGAACAAACTCTTCACAGGTAAATCAATAGAATAGAAGTAGGAAATTTTAAATTGTTGTTGTTATTGAGAGCTCAGTGAGGAGATTTATAATTAGAGAATTATAGCTTAGCATATCGTAAATACTAAAAGTCGAAAGGAGACCGCTAACCTTAAAAACTAAAATGTATCCTTTTTTTTTAACTTCATTGTTTATATCGAATAATCCTGTTCTACCCTCATAATGAGTGAGGTGCTGCTGGACTGCTTTAGTTGCTGCCGGACAGAGACAAGCTAGCTGTTTTCCCTTGTTTCCAGTCTGGTCCTCAAGATAAGGCTATCATGTTGCGGCATTCGCTGCATATTTAATGGATGGATATGAGAGTGGTATTGACTTTCTTTCTCAACTTTCTGCAAAGTATTTTTTTCTCTCCATAATGATGAATTATTCCTTTAATTACAGCCTGTTCAGAATCATTCATTTCGACAGCGGCAATTTGCAAAACCATTGACATGATGTGATTATATTGTGATAATGTGATTCCACTAAAAGAGGGGAAATGTACATATTGAATTATCACCCATCACTCTCATGAAAATGTAACAATTCTAATTATTACAAATAAGTTATTCAGTTCAGTAAATATAATTCTTGAGTGTTTTCTTCAGCGGAGGGAAGTAGTAAAATGTCTCATGTGATGTCTACAAGAATATTGTAGCGATGAGGGGTGATTAGGAAATGTTCTTTTCAAGACAGGCTGCATGTGTAGGCAGGGATCGTCTGAACTTTGTCGTTATTCTCAGCAGTCTACCGTTTATTTCATGCTCACGGTATGTGTGAACGCTGCAGGAGGAACAGCTGTGCCTGAAATGCGGCGCTCCTACTGTAAAAAGGACATAAAGTTATCTGCTCCACTCTGATATCAAGATTCCCCTCCATCCCTCCGTCGCCCTGCCGTGCCTTCACATCTATTTTCAGCTCCACTGTCAATCTGACTGACTCAAATCTGCTGTCTCTCTTGACACCGTCAAACTGTAATAGCCTGCCTGCTGTACGGGTGTGTGTCAGGGTGTCAGTGTGTGTGCAGAACCAGGCCTGGGCTTGTGCTTTTCTCTCTTCCATAATGGACCAGGAAAGACAGAGTATGTGTGTGTGTAGAGATGGCTGGTGTTTTATGTATGTGTGTGTGTGTGTTTACTATATGTGCCTATTCCAGTCCTGATATTGGCCACAGTGCACGGCAACACTGTGCCTCGGCCTCTGAATCTCAAAATATTTCCTGTAGCCTGAACACATAATTTATGCGTATGTAGATCTTTTCTAAACTGGCCGCCCGCGCTGTATTACAGGTGTGATATCTGAAGCATGCACAACGCTGGCACCTGTGTTTCGCTCCCTGTTGTTTGATATCCTGGCACATTTCAGTCAGAGTGACATAAGTATGCTCTGCGTCTCACTTTTGGAAGCCACCTGAGCGTATATATGTAGATCCATGTGGAGGTGTGAGCTCTCATTAAACACAACCTGCAAGCAGTGTAGTGCCAGTTCACACTAAAAAGAACTAGTTCAAAGTTCAGTTCATACAGATGAAAATGAACTGGTTCTTGACAGCAGGAGAGTGGAGGGAGGACACAGGAAACCCCAGCACGGTACACTGCATATCTCAATATCTTGTTATTGGACTGCCTAGCCTAACTTTTTATAGACATGAATTAATCATGGTCTCCAGAGGATGAATCCTAATAACTTCATAATAGGCTGAAATTTTTTTTTTTTTAAGTGAAATGTCTCAGCAGCTTTTGAATGGATTGCCAGGGAATTCGGCACCAACATTAATTCCAACTTCAGCATTAATTATAACTTTGCTGGACCCTGCACTTCCCATCTAGTGCCATCTTCAGGTCAAAATTAAAAATCACATTCGGAAATGTAACTACAATTCCATTAACCACAGCTTTATCTGGAATTCAGTGCAAAACTGCAACTGTTCTCATGTTAACACACTAAACTTAGCATGTTTAATGTGGTAAATATTGAGCATGTTAGCCTAACACAGCTGATAGCTCTGGACTTTTGGTTTGGTTCTGACCATCATTTCTATCGGTGCTGAAAAGTTTGCATTCACCAGTTTATAGCTGAGATCTGGAAAAGTAGCAATGTTGGTGGCAAAAAGCTGATTTGATCCACAGTATGTGCTGTAGTTGTATTACATTACTGATGCTGTCACTTTACCTCAAACCTGCGGTCTTATCTGTAATACAACTGATCGGAGTGATAGCCTAAACCACATTTCTTTGCTGTGTAAAAATATCACTCGATTCTTGGTGCACATCTGGAAACTTAAAAATTTGATAATATTGCCTTCACACTGAGAGATGTACTTGCTCCTCTACCCGTCAGGTTTAAAATTGTCTGTGTGTGATATTGAGCTCAAAGAAATATCAATGTTCACTGCAGCTGCACAACTTCCATGTGGAACATTTGTTCTGGGCCTCTGCTGAGGCTCCACAATCAGGAGTTTGAAGCTGGAGCTGTTAAGTTGTTTTGAAGTGCCTCTCCCTGGTTTTAGTGTGCATTTCATTCTTGGAAACAGTTGGTGCACTTAGAAATGTATGTATCTGATGCTTTCAGTGTCTGTCTGCCTTCCACCTCTCCAGCTCCCTCCATCTTCCCCCCCGTCATTCATTTTCCACACTACTAAGCCCTCTGGTCTGTCTCATCACTCTTTCCCCCCTTAATTCTCATTATAACCAGACGACCTCCTCATCCGCTTCTTCCTCGAAATTTCTGTCTGTCTTTCTCTCCGTGGCCTCCTCCTCCCTCCCCCAGCATGTCATGATTCATCTGGACTCGTCTCTCAGTGAAATTAAATTATTATTATTATTAGTCACGCATGACATACTGTACTGTATCTTTTTAAGTGTTATGTGTCAACCCTACGTCTCCTTTTCATCCTTTACCAAAGCCACTATGAATCTCTATTAAAATGAGAATTTCATTAAAATCCTACAGAAGCAATGAATCTTAGGAAGCAGTGATAATTTTCTCTGCTTGTGTTACTACGATGTAAGTGTTGTTTTATGTGCGAAGAAAATATTCAGTAACTCCATCAGGGGATGATGTCATTGCCAATGACAACAGTTGAATGTCTCTCATCTCTCACGTGAGCCGTTCAGGTTCCATCATCACTAACGAAGTGATGCGTTTTTACCAGGTTTTATGTTTTTACGGATGAATTGTCCTTCAAGGAGACAGAAATGGAGCGAAGCAGACACCGAGATGAGAGATTTGAGAGTTGAGTTAAGAGAGAAATTCATTCAGCTCTCTTCTCGTTCTCCGCTGCAGAGGAGAAGACATGAGCTCTACATTTATAATTGATCTGCCTCAGGCCCAGATATACACTGAAAGGGACTCACTGTTGTCTGTGTGAGTTTGTGTGTGTTCACATGAAGTGTAAAGTTCAAGCTTAATAATGGAGACTGCAAACAGGTGAGAGTCACAGAGACATAGAGACGACCTTTAAACCCCGGCACTCTGGCCTGTAATCCAGTGTACGTGCGTGCCTGCGTGTGTGCGCGTGTGTGTGTGTGCGTGCGTTAGGTCACCTGCCATGAGAATGGTTGTGGTGCCCATGAGTGACCTGACACTGTGGCCTCATCAGGTTTCTAAAGGCATCTAACATTGTCAGCACACACAGACTGAAAATACTGCAGGAGGAGGCTACAGTAACATGTTGCTACACATCACTGTGGCATGAAAATCACTCACATCAGCCAATAAAGCTTCCTTCAAACAATTTCCTGAAATGTTCCAGAGAGGCTGGAGAACCCAAATGTCCGAGACAGTTGCTTTTCCTTTGGGCTTCTTTGTAAAATGTTTGGAGAACGTGTGAGTGAGCTCATGTGAGGACACATTGGGAACATTTCAATACTATTTACAGTGGGAGTGGGCGTGTTGATCTTTCAAACACACAACAGATGCAAATCTAATTAGAACAAAAAAGAACTTCTATATCTTAGGATGAAAAAGAGGTGACATACACGTAAAAGATGAAGATGTTAACTTGAAAACATAAGAGCTGTTGACTGTGAGGGCCGGTGCTGGTGTCAATGTGCTGTAAACAGAAATGAATTTATACGTCATGTCCTGCCTCCTGCATGAACTGCCTAGGTGGTGTCCTCTCCTGCTGCCGTCTGCATATGTGAAAAACAAAGTCCTGGAAATGTCCAGACCTTTAGTTCACATATGAAAACGGCTCCACCGTGTAGAGACTGTCTGCCGAATGTTTTCTAAAACTTCTGGAGGTTTAACTCGTTCTTCACAGTGATGAAAAAAGGCAATCACACTTGAGAAGGAAAATCTCTCCTGACTCTGTCACCATGTGTCTCCTCTCATCCTTCTAGGAGACGGCTTCCTCCAGCGATGCCGAGCTCCTGTCACTGCTCCTGGATGCCGGGCTCCTGGTGGGCTGCGTCTCCTCGGCCCTGTACCCCCTGCTCAGTTCCCACATGCTGTCCCACCAGCAGGAGGGGGGCTGGGACGTGGAGAAGGCCGCAGCTGAGCTGATGGCGGCGGGCCACAGGCCCGAGGCGGGCTCCCTGCTGATGGCTCACCACGGAACACACCAGGCCCAGTTCACCTTCAACTCTGCCTTGGCTGTTCTCCGGAAGTGGCTGTGAGGGGGGAGTGAAGCAGGAGGTGAGGGGGCAGTTTGGACCACGGCCACGGACCACTGTGATGAAACAGATTTATAGAAGAAGAGCCGGATGGCGTTGAGAGAGTTGGATTGGATTTAAGTGGAGAATAGAAGCGATGTGAGGCCGTGCCTCAGCATTTGCTCTCAAGGTATTAGACCAAATACCTTTAAGAGTGAAACATCCACTCGATTACAAAGACACACATTCATAAATACACAAACCTCTGCTGTCATGAATGAATATTCAGACAAAGCTGATCAGAAAATGCATTTTTCTGTTGCATACGTCCATCCATGCATCCGTGCATCTGATTGTGCGATGGAGTAATTGTGCAGTAGCCGTGGAAACAGTGGGTGGATATTAGCCTATTGTTCTGTGACAGGTTTGCCTGTTTGAGGTCCCATTGTTTAACACCATGCCTCTGCTCTATTGTTTTCCCCCTAATAATGTCTAATTAATTCCTGCTAAACAAATTAGCCCCGCAGCTGCCCCGCACCCCGTCTGTGCAAACGCACAAATACTGTACACGAGCGCAGACACCCCGTCGTTATCATGTAGGGCTAATGATGATGCGGACTAATAGTATTTGTGTGTGTTTACGCATGCAGTGATGCTGTCAGCTTGTTTCACTATCAGGTTTTAGTCTGTTCCACCGTTCAGAGCTGAAATAAAGACAAATAATAACATGAGCTGTGATTTGAATTGTGTTACATTCCTTTTTATTATAATTGTACTGGTCAAACACAATTGTGTTCAAATGAATGAGTTCCATCTCATTTTGAATGCACTCAAATCGTTTGCATTATAATTACAGCAATTTTACATTGTTCCAAGAAAATTACATCCCTCTGATCATGTGTCGCCCCCCCCCATGTTTTGTTACACAATCATTCTTAAGCAGTTTAGCAGTTTAATAGTTTTCTCTCGTCAGCACACAACTCCTCAGAGGCTTTGGAGCAACCAAGTGCTTTCACCTACACTAGTGTCGCTAAAGCATTTTTACCTTGTTTCTTCTTTCCAGCCCTTTAAACTGATAATTGTTTTTTTAAAGAAATTAGTTGCAGGAAAAGAATTGAGGGAGAAAGAAAAATCAAAGTATCTAATTTATCTTGTTTGCCAAAGCGTTTTTTAAGACCAGGTTCAAAATGAAACATAGAGTGGTGCTGACTTCAGGTCCCCAGAGCAGCCAGTTTTGTTGAGGATGTGCAAAAACAGTGAACCTGCCTTTCAAAAACAAACATGATCTTAATGAAGAGTGGGGGGAACACACGATTCGATTAGTTCAGATGAAAGATCAGCTTTTTCCTTCCAGAATTGTTTTTATCCAATTGCATTGCAAAGGAAATAGCAATACCTCAGATATTAATGCTGGTTAGCACTATCGTCTCACAGCAGGAAGGTTCTTGGTTCGAATCCCGGTTTGGTCTGGTGAGTTTGCATGATTTTGGCTTTTCTTCAGGTACAATTCAGCCATTTTCAGAAATGACCTGCGGGTAAACTCCTGAGAATCTACAGAGTTTACCTGCGGGTAAACTCCTGAGAATCTACAGAGTTTACCTGCAGTCTGCATTTCACACATGAACAACACAGCAGGAGGTTTTCTGCACAGCAGCAACGAATCCTCCACATTGTTAAGGCAAGAGGTGGAGCACAGCATACTGTGGGGGCCAGGTGGAGCAGGTCAGAAGAAACTGCAACTCTACGAATACTTGTATATATATTAATATTTGACTGTGCACACGTATGCCCAGTGTACATTAGCAGTCACATGATTTGCAATTTCAGGCAAATCGCTTGTGTGGACAGAGATAGTTTTAGTTTGAAAATCTATTTACCTGCCTCCTGGTGTCAGCTGAGTCCGGCTCCAGGCCCCATCCCCACCCACGACCCTTCAGTGTAGGTAATGGATGGATCAACACTGTGGTCACTGACATTAAACACAGTGAAAACATAAATCCTCTCTCAGCTTCTTCTCCGGATGGGCTCCTACATGAGCTCATAGGGAAAATGTTTCTAGGGCCTTTAAGATTTAAAACAACTTATCAGTGGCCTTTAAAAAAAAAAGCTGCATCGTGCTTGAGTTAATTATCCAGATGCAGCTCGTGGAAGATAAGCTGTAACTGTACTTGATGGCTACCGTATGGAACTGTGGCACTGATGGCTTCAAGGCCTGTTTAAATCTGTTCAGGCTGTAATAAGCAGATCATGTTTCCACATTTGCTTGTTAACTTTCCGCTGCTGCACTTAATCCCTTAATTACTGCGTATACGCTCCGCAATGATTTCTGCATTCACTTTGGCAAAGACTTTTTTCTTTTTTCTGCCACCTCCATTGACAAAATAAAAGTTCATTTCTTTTCGTTCTTGCTTGGATAAGTTTCTATTTGGTCTGTTTTGTTTGAGATTCCCTAATCATTTTCTCCATGAGCACCCAGCGCCGCCTCCCTGCTTAACCCCTCTTTCATTTGTAAAAAGTTAAACACCAGCCAAAATAAGAAAATAGATTATTTCAGCACTGTGTAATATTCCGCAGTAATTCACGAAGGCATGCAGCAGTTAAAACAGCTGCCGGAGCAGAGCAGCTCGTATTCACTGACAGGCCAGAAATGAAAGGGCAGTAGCTCGGAGGTATTTAGCTGCTGTGTTTGGAGCCCATTCATAAGAGATGAGGTGGGGGGGGGGTTTCTCTCTGCATTGAACAAGAGAGTAATGGGTCTCGTCACCTGTGGAGGGGTTACGAGACAATGCTCGTGTCAGTGATGGGGCCACAAGAAAACACAGCGCTTTCAAATGGGCTTTCTGCAGATCCGACTGTGCTGAGGAAGCATCAGCATTTTACCAAGAGAAGGAAATAATACTGCAGAGATTAATGGTTCAATTTCACTGGCTCCGAATCCTACTCTCATGGCTTAGCATAGCATAGCATGCAGCTTTCACACGACTCTGCACCAGTGTTGGATGTTTCATATTATTCTGGGCTTTGCAGACAATACACTGATGTTCATCCCCTGGGAACAAACAAGTTCCTATCAACCCTGCAAAGTGAATTAAATTGGTCTCCAATGGAAACTGACCCAGGTTTGTTGGAGCCCTCGAGCTACAACAGGAGACCACTCATGGTCCTGGCCAGCGTGAAATCAAGTCTTTGTCCCAAACTAACGAGATTACATGAGGCCTGTTGTAATCAATCCTGGAGTGTTAGATCCTCCACACATACACACACACCATTGGGTTTAATGCTGTAACTAAGTGGTACAGCTCAGATAACGATTGAGCGAAAACTACAACATCAGGCAAAGAGTAAATTGTGTGAATGTGTGAAAGAAAATATGTAGAAAGCTTGACTGAGGAGGAGGGAGGTCTTAAATACTGATGAAGAGAGAGAATGAGGTTAGAAGATTTCACAGAAGAGACAAAAAACAGAAGAAAAGAGGGACGGATGAAAGGGGACAGGGAAGGACGAGGTCCGAGTGGATAAGCACTGCAGTGTTTTCACCGGCAGACTGTTTTGACCTGTCTTGATTAGTAGTGTTGACCCCTATAAACTCTGGGGACCGTTCCTGCCGCTTGTTTGTTTAAACACACACACACACCTGCAATACCAAGCAGCCTCTACTGGCCGTCCACACAGCCCATGCATCTTAATTCTCAGCAGCTGTTGTTTCAGCAAACACACAGGGTGAAAATAATGAAATGTGAGGAGCTTCATCACAAATGTCTTCCCAGTGCAGCCCCTGCTACAATCAATGCTTCATTAAATTAAGATCTATCATTTGACTCCTCAGCTCCAACTCCAGCTTGCTGTTTTGGTACCCGGGCATGAGAACAGGCCCCCATAACAATTTTGCGAGCCCCCAAATGCTGACACCCTTAAATACCGTGATCAGCTGTGTACAGGAGACTGCAATGACACCATGATCGGAGACCCCGGGGCCCCGTGTCACGAGCTTTCTGCCAAAAGCTTTTCGAGGATTAGTTGAAGACTGGATGTTTGTGTGGGATGTGTCTGGGATGGTGGTGGAGGTTTGCACTAAACTTTAAACTGCCTGATGAAGAAAGTATTTTAGCCTCCAAAGGGATTTTTTTCCTCAGGAACCGGTTGAGACCATAACGGAGCTGAAAAGAGGAGGGAATATTGATTTCATATTAGGTGAGAGCATCCCTGCTATGTTAACCATCAAAATCTGCTCCGGAATGTTATGGGTTCTTCCTTCCTCCCCTCTCCTGTACATTGAATAGAAATTGGAAAATGTGGTTTTGAGTAATCGCGTATAGACAAACAAATGGATGTGAACAAATGGACTGAAATAAAAACGGAACCTCTAGATGGAGGTGATTAATGTCTGTGATGATCAGCATCTGCTGGATGTGTGAAGCAGGCAACACACGATTCATCAGTAGGAGAACGGACTTATCAGGGAAAAGCCCTAATCCATATATATGTTGGTGTTTTTTCTGCAGGAACCTCATTATGTCTCAGATAATATTTGTACCGAACAGTTGAAGCTGACAAAGCCATGCTGGGGATAAAAGGGCTTCTTTCTTTATGGATCTCAGCCTCTCATAATTACCTGAAGTATAATTTGGCTTTTATTGACTTCCAGCTTCATTTAACAGTCAAGTCAGACCCCTCGACCAACATGTTTCTCCTTCACATGCTGCTGAACATGAACCACGGGTCCCATTCATACTTGATGACTGTTTGATGGAGTTCAACTGTGAAATAAACTTTTAACGTCAGAAGTATTTGTTCTTAAGAAACAGGACGACGATCTTTTGGAGGGTTCTGCTTGTTCTCGAGTGCTTGTTCTCCCCTCCTCTCGCAGGTTTAGAAAACACAGTGTCGTAAAGTTACAGCGTTCTTGCTTCATCTGTCAGACGATGCTCCCAGTGCCGGCGGTGTGAGCCGTCTTTACGATCCAGCCAGACGGTAAGAGACACAAGTTTTCTCTCGGAAAAAAGGGCATTTAACTTGTGCCCTATGTCCTCTGTGGAGAGTACAGGGGTGAGAGAAAGATGAAACATGAAACAGGTGAAAGAAATAGTGTTTGCACTCCAGGAAATCCCTCACACACCCTCCACACTGTCAACACTCTGAGTCCTGGGAAATCATTCACCCTCCAAGGCCCCGTTTGTTACCTTTGCCTTTATTCTGCGTCCATCTCAGTTTTGACCTGCGACCTTTCCCTCCACAGAGAAACTGCCTGTCAAGCAACTCCTGCACATGTAGTACAGTGAAACACACATATATGGAAAAAAACACCTTGTTAACAGAGGCCGATTTGAAAAGAGAGAGAGAGCTATAGAATTTAATATAAAGAACGGAAGAACAATGAGGAGATGGAATTTCTGAAGGTCAAAAAAAATGTAGAGGAGACAAAGAAGATGGAATTTCTGAAGGTCTTGGTGGAGGATGGTGCTGCAGGGTTTCTATCATATGGGTGGGTGCTCTCAGAGAAACAGAATTATTGAGTTAGGTTGAGTGTTGGTTTGAGTTCAGATGTGTTTCACTTCATTCAGAGACCCACAGTGTTAACAGTGTCCTTGTTAACTCAAGTGGACACAATGAAGATCCCCTTAAAGACACTGCTCCACAGCACTACTAGTGGTTAAAATGAACCATGTCATCTTTCTATCTGCTTGACTTCTTCTCAAAAACTATTTCTTTTATTGAGCTACAACGAG